GGCAGGGCTGGCTGGCATGTGGTGCTGGGGGATTGAACCGCGGTCCCTGTGCTTTGCTAAGCTTGTTCTAAGTAGGTGCTTTAGACCACTGAGCTATCTCCCCAGCCCCTCATCATCATTTTAAAAATAGATAATAAGTTTTATTTTGAGTAGTTTTAGAGTTAAGGAATGCTTGTGCAAGTAGTTGAGTTTCACATAGCTAACCCAACAGTTTCCTTGATTGTTAACATTTTGAATTAATATGGTATAATTGTTATAATCAGCCCACTAAGACTGATCCATCATTACTAGTTTTTGGACATGTAGGCAAGTACTCACCTGTGATCCCAGCACTCTGGGAGGCTGAGGCAGGGGGACTGCAAAATTTCAAGCTCAGATTGTCCACCTAGTGACTAGCAAGATCCTCTGTACAAATTCATTAATTAATTTTTGTCTTTTTGAGACAGGGTCTCACACTGTGCAGTTCAGGCCCAGAGCTCACTTTGTAGCACAGGCTGGTATCAAACTTGCAGCTATCTTCCTGCCTCTCTAGTGCCGTGATTACAGGTGTGCGCCACCATGAATAGCCCTGTGCACAAATTTAAAAGGGTTGGGAAGGCTGGGGACATAGTTCAGCCTAGAGGTCCTTGGTTCAATCCCCAGTACTACTGTAAAAATAAATACTCCCTGGCATACATTACTTCAATCTTAGTGTTATACTTTTTATGGGTCTCTTTTTCATTCTATCAGTTCTGACAAATGCATACTGTTATAGACTCACCAATACAACATTAAATACTTCCTAAATTTTACTGTCCTAAAAGTTCCTTCAGGAAAAGAAACTGAGACAAGGAAAGTCAAAACTAAAAACTGTACTTTTAGGAAGACTGTAACTCCCAGGGCGCAGCCAGTCACCCAAGGTGATCCTTTTGGGCACTTCTTTGGTTAATTTAGGCTCCTTTCCTCCCAGACCTATCACATCCCAAATTCCTCAAGAATAGTGGAAGTTCATAAATTGGCTTAGTTTAAAAAAAGTAGAGTGAGAGAGAACCTGATCCTAAGATAAAGGGACCAATTGAAAGAATTCCAAAAATGATTTGTTTCAGTTATTTTTTACTTGTTGCTGGGACAAAATGCCCGACACCCAAAATTGAGGAAGCAAAGGTTTATTTAGCTCACAGGTTGTGGACGTTTCAGTCTATATTCAGCTGGCTCTCGGGCAGAACAGCACAAGGTAGAAGGCAGCTGTTCATGGCAGCTAAAAACAGCGAAGAGTGGATGAGGGAGCCGCAGCTGCGGGGTCTATCAAGCCCCTCTCCCTTCCTTTTACGCAGACTTCATGAAGACCAGAGCTCCTCTAAAGATGTGGCAGAGGCTGCTGCAAAGATCTGAGCTCCTCCTCCGTTGTGGTTGTGGTGCGTCTGCTTAGATCACGTTCCTCCAAGGAAGGTGGGCACACAGAAGCCTTCCTAAACCCCTTTATGTACCTTTTTTGTGCTGAGTCACTCTAGGGTGGGCCATCTCAAGTTAACACTATATATCAACCACCACACAGTTAAATTATTCATCTTTTAAAAAATACTGGAGTCAGGGCTGGCGAGAGAGCTCAGTGGACTAAGAGCCTGCTTAGGCAAACTCAGGGAATCAGTTGGGTCTGATCCCTGACCCTACATGCTCCCCCCATCCACTGGCCTGCTGAGTGAGCTGCTCAGACTAGGTGTGGTGATGCACACCTATACTCACAGCTCTGGGGAGACTGAAAACAGGAGGCTCACTAAGCGGCATAAACGCCTGCCTGTCCTTCAAAGGCCCCAATTCAATCCCTGGTATGCAGAGGGGACTTTTTCCTGGGATTTCCACCCCTTCAAGGGAAGCATAAATACTCCCAGCTCCAGGAAACAATATGCCCTTCTCAAAGGCTGTGCTCTGTCTCTGTGTCCAATTTTAAGTTCCTGCTTAAAAAATCCCTGTAGGCCTCTTACTGGTCTACCCTAAAAATTTATTTTTGGAGCTGGGCCTGGTGGCCCATGCCTGTAATCCCAGCACTAGGGAGGATGAGGTAGGAAGAACATTGCAAGTTCAAGACCAGCCTTGGCTATAAATTAAACTCAAGTCCGGCCTGAACTGCATAGCAAGACTCTGTCTCAAAAAGATTGGAAAAAAAAAATTTGAAAATGGGAGTTAGTGGGGGCAAAGAGATGGCTCAGTAGAATAAGCACTTGCCTGACAAGTGCAAGGACCTGAGTTTAATCCCCGATTCCGCCAAAAAAAGAAGAAAGAAAGAAAGAAAGAAAAAAGGCAGGAAATGGCTCAGTAGAATAAGCGCTTCCCTGGCAAGTGCAAGGGCCTGAGTTTAATCCCTGGTCCGGCCAAAAAAAGAAAAAAAGAA